CAGTTTTAATTTGCACTGACTCAACACAAAAAATGTCCAATGTTTTATAGAATATTTAATTTATCAATATATTTAACAGCGCTACTATTAAAATTTTGCCAATAAAGTTGTAGTTGTACTGTTATACTAACAACTTTGTTTTATATATTACACTTTTACAGTTCAATGCTTTAAACACTAAACTATTAGTCAAGACCTCTTGCAAATAATATGTTAATAAATTTCTACATTTAATTTCCACAAAGTAAATCCTTATATGCCTTGAGCAATTCTTAGATCTGCTCTATTCATCTAATTTTATCTGCACTACCTAAAAAATGTACCTTAAGAGAATGTACATATATTTTATTTGCTTTGTTTTATCCTATTATCTTTATAACTATTGAATATATTTATTTAGTATTATACAATTTAAGAATGGTAATTCTTTCTAGATATCATTTATTTATCAGTGTCTGTAAGTTGATCAATTTTGTCACTTCATGTGAATTTTTAAAATACATTTTGCCTTCAAAACATTAATTCCATCGATGTACTGAAATGTTTAAAGAAAAATCCTTATTACCTACTGATTTATTCAAACTAGTTTTCACATCTTGCTTACTATAGTGACATTTTGGTCGTTATATAAAACAGCCATCTTCAGGTATTTGGAACTTCAAACTTGACTCTTTATTAAATTCATGAGAGTAGATTGTTCTATTACACTATCCATGCTTGTGTACATAATGGTTAATATGATGTGGTCATTATAACCAAAATGGAATAATAGTTTGTCATCTGAAAAGTTCAGAAAATGATTACCAGAAATGAATCTTAAAAAAGTCAAAATTCTCAGTATCTAAAAATGTTTAAATATTCTCAGAATGTTGCCAATGACATTTCAGCATACAAAAATGAAAATTTGATGTTCAATAATTTTCCATTTACTGTGCAGCTTTTTATTCCCTCCCACACAATTTTCAAAATACTTTTATTTCACCTATATTTTTTTTTTACTACCAAACATTTATATTGCAAAAGCATTTATTTTATGAGAGAATTAATTTGATGTTAAAAATTTCAATATAATTATTTTTAAGTATAATCATTTTTTAATATTCAGCATAACTAAATACATGTAAATTCTTGAAACTATGATTTTTTGAAATATTATTTCACTATCTCTAGATCATGAAGTGTCCATGAGGTATAATCTAATGCACATTTTATGTATATATTATTGATGCTCACCCAAGGCCAAACATCCACTCAAAGAAGTTAGTTTATGAGGATATGTGGAAAAAAATAACAGTTTAACCCTAGATATGAAGAGGTTAAGATTGTAATGGTTGAGAAAGCATCCTCTCAAGTGTGTTCCACAAAGCAGTAGCTCTTGGGAAGAAGCTGTCTGAGTGGAACTTCCTCCTTACTAATGGAATATGAAGGCAATGAGGATGGTTTGTGCCAGTGTCCTTAGTGGCATGGCACTCTTAGATGTAAAGTAAAACTAAGGAATGTAGCTCATCAGAATATTTTCCATGGAAATAGCAGGTGTACTCTACTTTCAGTCTGATCAGGCTCTTGTAAAGGTAGAGCATAGCAGGAGGAATCAAGTACTTACTGGAGTGGTATAAGGAATTGACCATTTTTCCAAAATCTTTAGCAGTTGATCATATATAGGACTTCTAAACACACACACACAAATAGAAAGTGAATGAATAAAATGACATAATAGATAGATTAACTTATTCAATGATTGATATTTTTTTACTTGAAGGTTATTTAAATCCAAACATTTGTAAGAATAATTCTTTTTTTTTTGTAATTGGATATAAACAATTAGAGAATAATGGTTTTTCCAGATGCAAATCCTACTATTTTACCCATAGCTAGGGAGTTGAACTTATTCAGGATTTATGGTATTTTTGTTATATCTTAATTTCTAAATTGAAAGTGAGCTTACCAAAAACGTCATGAAAGTTCATTCTGAAATATTACTTTGTAATCAACTGTTATAACAAAAAAATGCAACTCTTCATAAGAATCTTTATTTTTGCCTTATATAGATGTAAACTATTTAGTTTAATTTTAAAATATCATCTACAGAATTTCATAAATTTAAATTAATTTCAGTGATGACTAAATTCCTGAATCAATGCTAAGTATTTGCCATCCCTACAGGCTTCATTGTCAATATCCATACAATAGTACTGTCATATAAGTCTAAGAATGATCTATTTTTTTCATGAGAAGACCTTTGAAATGCCTATCTTGTAACTTTTTGTGGGTACGTTTTTGAAACTGAATGCAGTAAATGGTGATAAATTTCAAACATTGATTAATAAAACAAAATGTTGAAATTAAACAAAATTATGTAAGGATTTATTTAGTAATGTCATTACACAATTTTTATAACCTTTGAAGTTTTTGACAATTGTTTTTCAAACAATGTTCAATAACTGAAGTTATGTTTCACTGAATTTCAAACAAAGAGCATTGACAAAAGTGAATACTTAAAAAAAAAAAAAAAAAAAAAGGTCATCTTGTATAATAGAAAAAAAAAAAAAAAAAAGGCTAAAGAAAAACCAACAGAATTAATAGTTTTCCACAATGTCAGATATTCCATCCCAATACTTGGGTGATTTTCAATATATGCAGTTATTTGCTTAGGTTTGAAATCTAAATTGTGAGTTATGTCTTTTCACTGTCAAACTCTCTAAAGTCGTACTTGTTTGTAATTGTATGTTTTTATGCAAATTTTACAAGTAACTCCATGTTCAATATAAAATATATACTGCCATGAACAAGTTGGTAAATAAATCGTAATCAATAAATTCTTAATCATCATGAATGAACTATGGACAATTGGATACAGAAGAGAAGACTAAGCAACATAATTCAAGATCACTTAACCCTAATTTGAAAGTTAACTTTCTTAAAAAAAAAAAAAAAAAATACTTTGTTATTCTTTTATTCGTCGATGTTTACACATATATTTGAAAGTTAAGTTCTTAAATTAAGTACAAAAAAAGATCGCTTTACGGAAGCGCGTACTAATTTCTACAATGAATTACTGTGAAGGAAGTAAATAGGACCAAGTCCAAATTGTATACGTCCAACAAAATTCAGCACTGGATTACTTATCAATAAGCCGGTAATGTCTGACGACGAAAGACCAGGAAAAAATTCCTATTTTTTTCGGGTCGTTAACATCCAAAAAGGTAGGTTTCTTCAATATCTAATTGTTGATTTGAGTTCAGCATATACATTTGCACGGAAATAAGACTATTTTGGAAAAATTTGAAGGGATATTAGCGCTCGGGTGTTAAAATAAAAATTTACCACATTTACAATAAATCCCATTTGATATTTTTAACTAAATTTCCAGTTTTAATTCAACTTTTTTAGTTTAATTATTCATCTTCCTTTTTATTTTACAAGTAGTTTGGATAACAAATCAACTCCTTTGTGTTTAAGAAGTATAGTCTGAATTTTATGTTTGAGTTTACAATTTGTACTAAAAACAACTGTCAGTATTATTACCAGAGAAAAACCTTGAACTTTCAAAAAAAAAAAAAAAAAAAAAAAAAAAAACCCCCCAGGTGCAGTAAAAAATGTAAAAACTATTCAGTTTATGTTCCAAATTAATTCAGTCATTTAATTTTATCAAAAAGAAAATAAAATAAAATGATGCAACACTGTCGCCCAAACTACTCAGTGAGTAGTACACTTACACAGAACAAAAGACTATTAGTATTATCACATTGTTCTTTTTAAAGTTTTAAAGTAAACTAAAGTAAATGATTAAACTTTTCGATTGACAAACACTCCGGCCGTTTTTAAAATTGAATCCTAAACTGAGAAGACAAAAAGAATTTGCCGGTCAAAATGAAAAAATTATAAACATAAAAACTAAACAGCATAATTTAAAAAAAAAACACAATCTGAAATCATGCACCGTATTGTTAACTGCCAACAATATTTTTTAAATAAAAAAAAAAAAATTTAAAAAAAAAAAAATCAATTTATTGAAGACCTGCTTTTTTTTTTTTTTTTTAATTCATTCAGTGACAGAGACAGTTGTTTTTAAATTTTTTCAAAATTTAAATAACTATTTTAAACAGAGAGCAGTGTTTTTTTCTTTTACTACGTTTTCTTTTTACTAGTAAAAAGTTGTCAACTGAAGACTTGCTGGAAAATCCAACAGGCATCTCTGCGTGTATAACCCCTTTTCTTTCTTCTTCTCTCTCATATACAATAATTTTTTACACAACGACGCGAAACTAGTCAACTATTGACAAAAAAACAAAAACACTCACCATTCAAACCGTTTCAGTGAATACACACATATTTCAACAATGACATTGTTATCTCTTTCCTTGCGATAAACCTCACTTTTTTTTATTATTAAAGACTAGTAGTCTAGTGATAAAAAAGAAAGTCAATAAAACGGTTCGTGTATGTTCCAGTGTTTTCTCAAAAGACAAAAGTGCATACAATTTCTGATGACAAGAGGCTGTTTTTCTTATATTCTTTTTCAACTTTCATTTTTCCCTTTCAATCAATTTTTCTCATCTTTCATTATTGCTTCATTAGAGAAACTTTCTAATGTGACCCAAAATAAATTTGCCATAGTAAGTTTAGGTTAAAAAAAATTTACGAGAAAAAAAAAAAAAAAAAAAAAATTACATCCACATTTGTTTCACACTGAAAGTTCTAAGTTACTTGGCCTCGAACTTGAAAACTTAGTAGCTTCACGTTAAGTTAAATAACAAATGTGTTCTTTTTATTTTGGGCTCGTTCGGGCAATACCCCCCCCCCCCAAAAAAAAAGTTATTAGAAGAACAAACAAAAACAAAAAAGATAGGAAAATAAAGAAAGAATAACAATAAGAAAAAAAGTTGTTTTTTAGTCCGATTGAAAATATTAATCAATAATTTAAAGAGTCTCTGAAAAGAGAAATAAAACAAAATAAAAATAAAGCAAAAAAAACTTGCAAAAGTGATAAAAATACTCACCTTAAGTTTAGATTTCTGAACATATCCAGTTTGAGCATCCGAAAGTGCTGTGAAGGCGTGCCAAATACACTTCTCAAGTTCTTCCATTTCTGATAAAAAATAAATAAATAAAAATGTCTTTTTCGGCGAATATGTGTTACTTTGTGTTGGAATTTATCACAGGACAAAGTTTTACTTAACTTTTTTTCACCTAACTATCCTGCGGGTGTCAAGAAAAACGTTGATTTGTGAGCCTCAGTCTTTACGCGTGTAGCTTGTGTTTGTGTCACAGTGAACTGAACAATGAACACTGAGTGAAACAATACTTGTGTTGGCTCGTGTGTGTGTGTGCGTATGTCAAAAGGCCTATATGTGACTGATTTAAGTAATTTTACAATACTATACACAAAAATGCCTATGTACCACTAGTGTTGTCTTACGAATTTCAGCTTAGTTCTGCGTTGTGGGTCAATCACTCAATGAATGGGGAACCTTGCTTTAGCTTTAACTTAGATGAGATGCCACGTAAAATGTATGTTATCGTTCTCTATAGGAAGAAAGTTCAACCATAGGTGACGTATTTTTTTTTTGGTCACACTCCTCAATTTTTCGATGGGCTCATCAACACTTTTTTTAACCACTTACAACGTCCCTCTTACCACCACCACCACCAACGACAACAACAACAACAACAAGTGCTCCCGGCATAACAACGACAACCACAGCGACCACTACCACCAAGCAGCAGCAGAGAACCACAAAAATTGCTCTTGTGTAATAATGTGTCAACTTACTTTGGGGGGGGGGAGTTAATGCCTGTATGCATCAGAGTGTATAGTCAGTATGTACACTAAAAATACACTAAAGACCAAAAAGAGAAATAGTGAGTCCACTAATGAAATGAGAATTAGATATAGGGAGTGTGACATACACATACAATGTACTTTTTTTTATTGTTTAAAATATGGTGTGTATGTAGTACTGTATTTGCGGTGAAAATGTTTTTCTTAATCGTGTGTGTGTGCGCACGCGCGTTTTTGTGTCAACAAATGTGTTTAGTTAGTATACGTGATTTATCTTTTATATACCAAAAAGCAAAAAAAAAAAAAAAAAAAAAAGCAAATATAAGAAAAGAACTGACACTACTAAACAGTTTTTACTTTTAGTTTTAAGTAAAAAAAGTAGCTTTTTCGGAAGTCCGGATATTGTCAACTAGGTCAACTTGAAAAGTTGTACAAGTGACAAACTACGCGTATATACAAATTGATCCAATAGTGGCCAAATAATAAATTTTATTTACGGAACATGTACTCTCTGCGTTTCGGTTTATCCATTGTGTGTTTCGAGGTGGCAGAACTCGGCCAGGATTAAAGTTGCTGCGTGGGAGGGGGTTGAAGAATTGAGAACAATTTTGATCATTAAAAAAAATTATAAGAGTGCAGAGAGGTTTTCGGCCAAACCGGCTTCCCATTTTTATTCTTAATAGCTTTCAGCATTCTTCTAAACTTTACATTTCATAGAATACAAAAAGTAATGTTGCACAAACAATTTCAAAATTAAATAACATTTTGTGGCCTTGACATATGATTTGAATTCGCATCGAACACCTCGGAAGCACGCTTTTTTTTCATACAACGTCACTAAACCACTGACACCACATAAGCTTCGATGTTCAAAAAGTAAAACTGTAGACATTCTCTAGTTTATTTAACTTCTTGAGGAAAGGCTTCCCTATACTATTCACTACAGTCTCACTATCTTTCTTTGCTACTGAGTATTTTAGAAGTTTTTAGATGAAGAACTTTCTAGTAAGGAAAACGAGGGCGTAGAGACTAGAGAGAATACGAGAGATTCTAAGAAGAGTTAATGTAATGACTATATATGGGTAGAGAGGGACTTGCTTTCCTTAATCATCAATGCTTTTGTAACTAGAATGGTGACATCTGTAAAAGACGGGACACTGAGTGATGAAGTACGGTAGAAATACGTGTTCTGATTTTGCAATCTTTACTATCGCGATCGAAGAGTTTCTGTTCATCCTCAGTATTGTGATAAAAAGGCAACAATAAAGCTAGTAATAAAATAAATAATGAAAATGCTTCATTTAAAAATAAATCTCAAATGAATTAAAGAACATGAAGCATAATAAGACGATATTTCTAGATTCGACAACACGTACTGATATGAGCAATGAAGTAAAATAGCTTATGTACCGAACTAGTATGGTTCAGTTGGATTGTATTATAGCAAATGAAATATAATGCATCAGAAATACTTATAATTTGAAATACAACCAGATCATCTTTAAAAATAGCTATTTTAACCTGATTACTTATTTATATATTTTCAAAGATAGAAATAAAATATCTTTCCAAAGATGGAAATTAGAATTCAAACTCGAATTATAAATTTCAAATTTTGAAATAAATCAGCTTTGATGTATGATATCAAATACCAAATTTAAATTCTTGTAAATGATTTCTAAAAAATTGAACTAATCTTAACTGGTAGCTTCCACTGGAGATCAGCACTTTTTACCTTACGATTCTGTGATTTTAGTAATGCTATCGTCTGGATAATCTCAATTCTTCCTATGATTTCCAAGTCTTCCTAACTTCTTAGAAAAGTTCACCAGCATCGTTCCAACCATTCAAACAATGAAGATCATAACAATAGCCTTTGTGTTCCACAATTTTAGTTCTCTAGTATGGCTTAGATATTTGTTTAGTTTTTTTTGTTTTTTTTTTTACTTTTCAAGTTTGACCCCATAATTTGCTGGAAGAGCAAATCCCACCATCTCACAATCTTTGTTTATGATAATTAGATCTGATCAACTGGCGTGTATTGAGTGATCCATTTGCCCTAGCAGAGTATTTTGAGATTTTATTTTGATTTATACATAAAAACCCGTTGGTCAAAAACTTGTTGCATTTTCACTTATTCATAGTATCATCTACCTCCACATAATTTGCCTTTGTGTTTTTCCTGTACCTCGTCTATTTCGGCCTTGAATACTTGATTCTTATGTCTTTTACTCTGGATCGCAATTAACAATATATTTTCCCTTTCAAAATATCCTCTTTACAACTATGTTTTCAGTTTGTATTTTAAGTGCTTGTACTTTAATTTTTGGTACCTGTTTTGGGTTCACTTGTAAGTTTTTTTTAAACCTTTGACTTATGATCAATTTCCATTACTCTAGCTTACGTAATCATCGAGTACTTTGATTCTCGAGTCGATGCAATCCTCAATTTTGGCGAATCCTCTTCCTTCAATTTCATTCTTATAAAATAACATCTCTCAAGGACAACGCTTTAATTATTGTCATTTTTATTTTTTCTCATCCTGTTTAAGAAGGGTCCTGAATATATCACAATAGACCAGATGAGATGATTTGCTACTGAGTTTAGTTTTCAAAATGATAGTTATATTTCTGAATTATTCTTTACCGATTTTTTTTTTTTTGCCTCATTCTGCTTGATGAAATCCACTTACACTTCCCAAATCACTAACTGTTAAGGTGTCCAATTCATTTTGTTCCTGGCAAAATTATTGTTGTGGCTTTAGTTCAATCATCGCTTTACCTTAAATTATATTACAAATTCTTTGATTATTTTTTCAACTAATTTCATTATTACTAAGAAATTCCTATTATCTTTATTTTTCAACAAAAAAAAAAATACAGTAACAATTATTTTTACATTTGTGAATGGAAACAGCACCCTTAAACACAAATGGTACTTTTCTATCAACCTAATAATCCCTTTCACCTATTGTAAAAAAGAGAATGCTATGTTTATTTATGTTTATTTTCTTTTATGAATTTAATATACAAATAATCAGAAACTGGTTGTTATTTGAAAGAAATAACCAAAGAAACGGTGACGGATTTTAAACTTTAAAGCGGCATCATCTAGTTAAAATGGAATAAGAATTTATAGGAAATGTTAAATTTATAGGAAATGTTAAATTTAGTATCCGTTGTCATGAGTATTGCAAATTTGTTAAAAAATATAAATTTGCAATTGAAATAATTACAAACATTGAAAAAGCACTAAGTCTAAGAATATCTACGTTCCTTTCAGTTTCACGCGCTTCCAACTGTAGAACGCTGGCCAAACGAATACATGGTTTTCTTACCTATTTCCTAGGATTCACTTAAATTTGAATGTACAAACTCGTCAGAAAACGTAACGTACATATCACCATCAGAATGTTTGACAGCTTCAGGTTTATAAAAACGACCTTTACAATTTAGATATGCCTTCCTTATCTACATTAGATTATTTGAACCATATGCCATGGTAGCATTTTATAGACAGCGGGAGCTTGTCCCCACTACAACCCCACGGCTATAACATTTAATTTAAAAGTAAAACATACATAAACATTACGTATTTTAGAAACTCACAAAAATAGCTTTTTTCTTTTTTAAACAAAATCACGAGAAAGCAAGACAAATTACAAACTTAAAGATCGAAAAGTTTGATAACTGTGGAAAAAAGGTAGTAGAAAGAAAAGAAATATAATTCGGTATTTAAGGTCGAAATAATCGGAGATTATGAAGTCATTATTTATAAAAAATAATGTATTCTACTTTTTGACAGTACTAAAACAGTAACACGTTCTAAAATGTAAACTCAGCTGATAAAAAAAAAATAAATGAAAGTAGAAAAGACAAAGTTGATAAGTATAACTTTCTTTAGCTAAGCAAAACAAAGTAAAAATAAAACAAACGATTTTCTGGATAGTTATACAAAAACAAATACTAATAGAGAAAAAAAACGAGAAAAAAGTTGAAAGAAATAGTAATCAATACAAATATATATATAATCAAAAATCAAAATGTATATCAATTCAGAATAATCAATTAAAAGAAATAATAATTGTGAATTATTTTTAAATTATTAATTTTAAGCAATATACGTTTATTTTATTTTTATTTATTTAAACTTAGTTTTTTGGAGCTTCGAAAAAACACGTTAACTTTCCTCGAGTTAGAACTTCAAACAAGCTCTAATAACTGTCCACCTCACCCAGAGAAAGGGACTAAAGTGAACCTTGGTGTTTCATAACCAGATGCATCAAGTAGATGGAGCTCGTCAGCC